ACACACACACACACACACACACACACACACACACACACTCTTACAGCACAGCAGGACTCGATTCCGTGACCCCCGGCATTACTGGCCCACTGTTCTCATTAACCAGTACTGTGTGTGTGTGTGTGTGTGTGTGCTGTGTCAAGGGTGTCGTGTATGTCACGGTCGGGAGGGTTTTTAAATATGTCTGGGCACATTCATGTCATGAAAACAAAGCGGGTGCATGTATTGATTCACACCGGCTCGTTGTACATACTAAATGTGTGCTGTTATTCTACTGACAAACCTCGGCACTCAAGGGGGCGATAGAGTTTCCTTCTGGCTGCTGTAGTTAGAAACGCATGCACACGTCCAGCTAATAAAAATATGTTCTGAGCGCGTTTAGGTAGCGTTACCATAAAGTAAAAAAAAACTTTATTTCTGAATGTTCTCTGAACTTGCGAATTGTTTAGTGTTTTAAATGTTTAAAAAGTGTTTTTTTCTTGGTTATGCACACTGAGGTTTTGTTTAAAAAAAAAAAGTCTTACTCCAAACTTCAGCTTTGCCATGACAGGAATGAATAAATAAATAAATAAATAAAATTAAAATAGAAAACATTTATTTCAGATTTTGTAATATAGTATTATTACTGTACTTTTGAGCAGAGTAATGAAATGTATATATACTGTATATATAAATATAAATTAGTTACTCTATATAGAAGCTGTAAGTGTTTCATCATCTTCATTGTTGTGTTCAATATTAATCAAATATTACTTCGTTATGTGCATTAAGTGTCACAGAGATACTATTACAGTTTTTGTTTATATATATATATTGCTGCTTAATATTTGTTTAGTTTTTGATGAACAACATTTATTTGAAATTCCTCTTTTAAATTTTTACACCTTAAAATAAAGTATAAAGTATGAATACAATTATTATTTTTTAAAGTTATTACCACTGATCTATTGTAGATCTAATATACTATTTAATGATTTTTTTTTTAAAGAATAAATTGCATTTTAAATTAAAATATATTTAGATAGAAAGCAGCTATTTAAAATTTTAAATATTTCACAATATTACAGTTTTTACAGTATTTATGATTCAATAATTGCAGCCTTGGTGAGAAGAAGAGACTTCTTTCAAAAACACTAACACATTTTTAATTATTATTTCAAATTTTGACTGCTAGTGTAGAATATATTTTGACCTACTTTTGCTTATTTTGACTGGCAGTGTAGACTGTAAAAATGATATGATCAGAAATTGGTTTCAGTTTATGTTTTTACATTACTACATAACTCAAAATTACTTTTTCATCAATTTCAACTTTTTAAAAATAAGTTATATGAAGTTCAGCTAGATGTTTTTTTTTTTAGGTCGGTTTAATGTTGAAATCACTTGTGCAACTGAGTTAATTATACCTAAAAATTTAAGGCAGCAACTGAGCTTAAGTTTTTAAGCTGAAATAGGTGATTTTTAAATGCTGTACAGTATATCTGGTTGGTTTAATCTGTAAAAAAGAGGAATTTTGCGAGTGCATTAAAGAAATGGATGAACAAAGGCAGTGTCACACCGTTGCTCATCTCTGTTTTAATACAGTGTCTGATGTTGTAGCGTGTGAACACGTGCACTCACACACACGTGTGCCAGCGGCCCTCAGGGAAACGCTTATGAACAAGTGGAAAATGACAGGTTCCTCTCCACTGATCACAGAGCCCCGGGTCGCTGTGAGGTCATCTGAAAACGTCCTGGCACAGGAGCACAGCATGATGGGAGGAATACAGAGGAAAGAGTGACAGCACACTCTCTGATTGCTGTCTGCCGCCGGCACGGGTCACTGCGCAGTCTGTGTAAACCTGCACCTGACTTACTTTCTCTTTTTCAGAAAACTGAAGTCATTGCATTTGGAAACAAAGATGAAGTTCTCAAGGTGAATGCATACCTTGACTCTAGGGGTCTAACAACTAAAAATCATAAGTCAGGAGTCTTAGTTTCAGTAGACATGTCAAAGCAGTAACTAAATCAGCATCATCTCAAAAACATTGCAAGGCTTAGATGTTTTGTTTCCAGTCAAGACTTGGAGAAACTTGTTCATGCCTTTATCACCAGCAGGGTGGACTATTGTAGTGGTCTCCTCACTGGCCTTCCCAAGAAGACCATTAGATAGCTGCACCTCATCCAGAACGCTGCTGCCAGAATTCTGACTAGAACCAGAAAATCTGAGCATATCACACCAGTCCTCAGGTCCTTACACTGGCTGCCAGTTATATTTAGCATTGAGTTTAAAGTACTTTTACTCGTTTATAAATCCCTCAATGGCCTAGGACCTAAATACATTGCAGATATGCTCAATGAATATAAACCTAACAGACCACTCAACTCATCTGTTTAGCCGTTTTTTTTTTCTTTTATGTAAAGCACTTTGAATTACCATTGTGTATGAAATGTGCTATATAAATAAACTTGCCTTGTTTTCCTCACTCCTGCTGCCTTTTATTTGACCTTTTTAAATTTTAATATTTTCATATTTTCTGTGTTTTTCACACTTCATCTCCGCCTGTCTGCCCACCTGTCATTCTTTACCATCTCTGTGCCTATATATATATATATATATATATATATATATCATTTATATATATCAGGGTTATTTTAGTGTCATTGAGATATTTTTAATTCGTTTTTATAATATTTTCGGCTATCATTTTAATTTTAGTTAAAGTTTTATTTTTATTTTTACTTATATGTCTATATAGTTTTCATTTTAGTTTTAGTTAGTTCAGTAAATTTAGCTTGGGAAACTACAAAAAGAAAGAAAGAAAGAAATTGAACTCAAAATATTAAATCATTTTCAAAATGAGTGGCAAAAGCAGTGTTTTATTTGGTGCTTTTGTTTTTTCATCTCCTGTTGGATTTCACCCTACAAGCAAAATCAGTAAATTATATTGTTATAAAGATTTATGTCATGACTATTAAGCACATTTTGTCCTAAAATTCTCATTAAAACAATATATTATTAAAATTGTAATTTATGAAAATATTTGATAAAATGTGTTTTATGATCATTTAAATTAAAAAAATGTCAATGGTTTAGTTAGTTTTTCTAATATTTTCAGTTTTTTAATTTAATAAAAAAAAAATTGTATTTGTTTTTTAATTTAATTTTCTATTTTTTTCTTTTTATTTTTTTTTATAATTTTTTAAAACATAATTCTATCTAATTTTAATTCATTTTAGTTTTAGTTAATTCAGTTAATTTTGCTTTGCCAAATCACTGAAATAAAATTAAATTGAAATTAAAATTAAAATTGAATTAAAAATATTTTATTATATTTCAGTTAAAGTTTATTTTATTTCAAGTAGCAAAAATAATGTTATGGCGTTAACTTTAGTTATGTGTGTGTGTGTGTGTAAATTTTTTATATATTTTATGCTTTATAATTTAATCGAATTGGTTACTTTATTCAAGCTCTATAAACATATATTCAGATTTCATTTAATTATGTGCTTTTTGGGTCTCTATATAATATTTTTTTATATTTTAAGCTTATTTTAGGACCATTATGATTTTGTTTTCTTTTGATTTTGTGGTTAAATGACCCTCTAACACTAGCACTTTCTATTCTATTTTAATTCTACTTTATCTATTTATCTTCTTTTTTTATAAAAAAACAAACAAACTAGCAGCTTTCTATTTGTTCTATTCTATCTACTTTGTTTTTCTTTGTGTGTGTGTGTGTGTATATACCTTGCTACGTGTACTGCGTTAGGCTAACCGAGACTTGTATAGAGATATTGTTGCTCTTTTGTTAGTTTTGACTGCTTTGGATAAAAGCGTCTGCTAAATGACTAAATGTAATGTAAATGTATTTCGGACATGTTTTCATGAGATTCAGCCACATTTATTTGAAGACCCTGCACTATTTCAGCAGAGACGTGTGTCTGTTTGTTTGACAGCTGAAGTGTGGAAAACACAAGGAAGAACTTGTAATATTATGCCGTTTTAAAAATTAAACACAATTAGCTTTTAATAACTGAGTGACTGTTTTTCACACTTCATCTCCGCCTGTCTGCTGCTGTAGGATGCGTTGGAGGTCCTGGCGGAGAACCTGGAGTTCTCTGGGAATCAGGGGCCGAGCCTGGCGTTCCGGAGGGCCGCGTCCGTGCTCAAGAGCCTCCCCGCTGCCCTGCGACGCCTGGAGGAGACGCAGCTCCTGCCCTGCCTGGGAGAACATAGCAGGGCCATCATAGAGGTGCGGTACGAGCCAGAGGGTCCGCTGAGACCTCTCTCTGTCTCTCTCATCTCACACTACACACATCAGCAGTCAGCTGACCTCTGAGCCGAGCTCTGCTCTTCTCCTGCTGAGGCTCGGATACACTTTCAATGAGCTGCTGTTTGTTTTCCTGAGGGGGAAAGCAGCAAGACATGGTCTGGAAAGAGAAGAGCCCAACATTTCGCAAAAAAGAAGTTGAGTAGGAGATAAAACGGTGAAACTCAAACCTGTTGAGAATGTGTCCGGGTCACATTTCACTCTAAAAGCAAAATCAAGAAATTATACACTGCAAAAAATGCTTTTCTTACTTAGATTTTTTTGTCTTGTTTCCAGCCAAAATATCTTAAAATTCTTAAATCAAGAAGGATTTTCTAGACAAGTAAAAATTATTGTAATGTTTTCAGAAAAAACAAGTCAAAATGAAGTGAGTTTTTGCTTGAAACAAGCAAAATAATCTGGTTTTCTGTTTGAAATAAGATTATTTTGCTTACCGCATTGGCAGATTATTTTGCTTGTTCTAAGCAAAAACTCACTTAATTTTGACTTGTTTTTTCTGAAAAGGATTTTCGAGACAAGTAAAAATTATTGTCTTGTTTTCAGAAAAAACATGTCAAAATTAAGTGATTTGATTTAAGAATTTGTAGATAATTTGGCTGAAAACAAGACAAAATATCAATGTAAGAAAAGCATTTTTTTGCAGATGTTCTAGATCTTATTTATGCTCGTTTAAATGTAAAAAATGTTAATGGTTAAATTCTTAATGGTCCTAAAATTTGGCCATATACTTCATATTCAGGATTTATAAATATATGTTGAGATTTCAGATAATTATTTCCTGTTTGGCCCTTCATTAATACAAAATTATAATATAATTTATTTAAATCTTATTTGAAGCTTCATATGATTTCTGAAGGATCGTGATACACTGAAGACAGGAGCAATAATGCTGAAAATTCAGCTAAATTACATTTTACAATATATTCACATAGAAAACACTTATTTTAAATTGTACAAATATTTCATATATATATATTTCTAAACGTATTTTAGGACCATTAAGAGCCATTTTTTGATTTTGGAATTAAATTAGTCTTATTTTTATGAGATTTACCCACATTTAGTTGAAGATCCTGCAGTATTTCAGCAGAGACGTGTGTCTGTGAGTGTGTTTCTGTTTGTTCCACAGCTGAAGTCTGGAGAATACAAGGAAGAACTCGTAATATGGGGGCGTTTTAAAAATTAAACACAATTAGCTTTTAATAATTGAGTGACGTGTGACAAAGCTCTCCTCCTGTCTGCTGCTGTAGGATGCGTTGGAGGTGCTGGCGGAGAACATGGAGCTCTGTGGGAATCAGGGGCCGAGCCTGGCCTTCAGAAGAGCTGCATCCGTGCTCAAGAGCCTCCCCGCTGCCCTGAGACGCCCGGAGGAGACGCAGCATCTGCCCTGCCTGGGAGAACATCGCAGGGCCATCATAGAG